GTCTAGAATTTCTTTTGGAATTTGGGTCATCCCAGCAGAAAGGCAAACAGCAGGAGCTCCTTGAGCTCCCAGTGGTGCAACATGCCATGCTGTCAGCTTGTGAGGTCTCCATTTGACACCTGCAGTCAAATCCCAGGAGAGCTCCTGAAGGCACCTGCAGCACTTTGGGCCTGAGAAACACCAACTCCTTGCATCCAGTTCCCACTGTTGCTGAGCTGTCACCAAGAGGTCCTGACTCACAGTAAACCAGGAGCTGGTGCTTTCACAGAGGTGGGACAACATCCATCAAAAAGGCAGCAAAAGCTCCAAGCTAAATGCAGTTATTGTCATGTCCAACACAGCAGAAACCAGGAACTGATCACCCCTCAGGCACAGGGAACACATCTCCCTGAAGAGCAGCTGAGTGATGGCTCCTGGGCCAGGTCCTAATGCTGGGATTCCTGAGGACTGCAAGGGTCTCACAGCTCACACTGAATTCTGATCTAATAACTCATTCTCCCATGGGAATCATATTCCCAAATCTCCCCCCTTCCTCCCCCCTGGAACCTTGGAATAGTTGCACAAATGCAGAAGCTGAAACCTGACCCAGGTCGCTCCTAGAAACTCAGCCCACTCACAGGTCCTGACTGTGCAGGATCAGGCTGAGGGCAGGGCATGTGTGACTCCCATGGGAACAACTCCCAGGGACCTGCAGGGCAGGGAACACAAGAGCCAAAGTACAGTGAGGGGAGCTGAGCAGGGGCAGCAGCAGCTGAAGAACAGAGAGGAGACCCTGACACCGAATCATGCTGTTCCCCTCAAGCACAATGTGCATTTCCACAGTTTCAGCTGGTTTGGTAAAGAATTAGGACTATCCCTACAATTCTTCCAACATTTTGCTATCCACTCAGTACAGGCAGACACAAACACCCAGGGGTTAACTACCAATGAGGCTTTTTCTGAGTATTTGGCACTGCAGCAGGAAACAGTACGGGAACACCAGGGAGCTGTCAGGAACCAGCAGCACTGCTGTCTGTACCTGACCTTACCTGCGAGGCAAAAAAACCCAAAAAGTAATTTTCCATGCTGTCAGTCCCTTAATATCAGCACAAATATGTTACACAACACAGGAAGCCAAGAGGCACCACAGATTAGAACTAATTACATAAAACTTTGCACACAAAGATGGAACTGCTTTCTGTAGGAGATGGAGAGGAAAAGAAAGGTAAGGTGAAGATTCACTGCAGCTCAGAACCCATTTTTCCTTCCCCTCTGTATATGTTCAACCATATATACAATATTAATGCACCCATTATATACAATATTAATGCAACCATGTTCTTAGCTATCAAAGCACTGGAAACAGCCTCTGTATTCTAACAGTCTGTACTACATCAGTGTGGAGCAGAGAATCTTAAATAGAAGTAATGCAATACAGACAGAAGTGTTATTGTTGCCCACACCAACTCAGAAAGGTTAACTCGATGGTATTTTCTCAGAAAAGCAATTTGAGCTAATCTTGTATTTTTTTTTAATTCTCGCCATGTGTTCTGGTGTGTTTTAGAGTTCACCTTTTACTTGAAGCTGACCCTCATTTCACTAAATGTCATTTTTGGCAGAAGTCAGAGGTACCTCAGATTAACATAAAGATTGAAGAATATTGGTGCTTAATTATGGCTATAAAACACCTGCCTAAAAAAAACAGGGAAAAAAAATAAGGAAAAATGTGTTTGTTAGTTTTCAAACAGGTGTTATTTCTCTGGAACATAAGTTGAAACATAAATGATCCAAATAGTAACTATGAAAATATTCTGTAGCTTTTTTTTCCACGAGCTGTTTTTGAAGAGCTATAGTCACATGTGCAAAATGAAAAAAAAAGTTAATTTTATTAACTAGATTGATTTTTGACATTTCAAGATGGCATTTTAGGATATTCTTTGTTGGGAGGGGGTAAAAGTATTCCATAAAGTTCAGAATTATATAAAACTTGCGACAAGACTACCAATTTAATGCCATTAGGTTTTCAACAAAAATATCATTCAAAAAAAAAAAATGTACACATACACAGTCTTTGATTTGAGTTTAAGCTACTCTGGTGTCTCCTCAGCCAAATGTGGCAGATGATATATCTAAAAAAAACCCAACATAAAACCACCCCAACAAATCCACTATTGGGAACCTAAGAAACTGGAAGTAACAGTCAAATGTAATAAATTTTTAATTACTGGATGATTTTGTTAGGGTGAAGACTTCTCAGATCAACCCATCGACAGGCACATAAGAGTCAATCTATCTGATCAGTAAAACCCTGGACCAGCATGCAAGGGACTCATTTGTGTTATTTATCCCATAAATACCAGATGTGGCAACTCCCACAGCTTTCCTACTGTAAGGAGGGGGATAATACTCATCTTTTTTTGACAGGAACCCCCCTCAAATCCCTACAGGGCACTGCAAAATCGCTGGAGTCAGAGTACTGTTACAGTGCATTTGCTGGCAAAATCAGTTTATTGAATGTTGTGCTTTATTTTGGTTATGGAACACTAACAGGAATGGAAGTTGTCACCGTGCACCAACGGGAAACAATCTTTGAATGCAGACCTTGTTCAGCTCCCCAGCTGATCAGACCTGCCAGAGCTCCTCTGAACCCCATGGAGCCATGCCAATGGAAACCAAGGCAGGATATGGCCTCGTGGTTAATAGGTTTCACATGTCTAATGTTTTAATAAAAGTATACATAAAAAAAGAATATTCTTTATTATTAAAGAGTTGTGCTGTGGCTGGTGAGCTGTGCAGGGGAACCCTGCAGCTCTGGGCAGTCACCCAGCCCAGCACACACCCCAGGAGGGGACAGTCCCACTGCCCCTGCCCACCTCAGCTCCCGTGGCCAAGAGCAGCACAGGGCTGGGCTGAACAGAAGGAAATAAAGCCAGGGAGATGAAATCAAACACCTCCCACAGGAGGAGAGGTAAGATTTATCAAGCCTGTAAAAAACAGTATCATTGAGATACCTGAACATGAAGACACGGGAGAGGTGCTGCTCAGCAGCCACTCAGACTCCCTGTGCTGTGCCTGCACCCTGAGCTGAACTAAAGGCAGCCCCTGCCAAGGCTCCAGGGCTCAGGACACTGCAACAACCCATTTGCATCACTTACCTCAAAAACTAGAGAAGCAAACACAAACATACATGAACACACTGCTCTTCTCTCTGTAGTACAACCAGAGCTGCACTTCCAAAAACCAACAGCCACAGCCAGTCAGGTGGCTCCCACTGCTCAAAGCCAGAGACAACTTCCAAATGGAAAATCTACTATTGTTTTGTAATATTCATGACAACAAATGGTTGAACAGGATGATGCACAGAACTCAGCCAGTCCTCACTGAAACACAGCTCCAGAGAACTGTATTTCACTGCTGTGCCTGAGCCATCCTCAGAGACAGCAGAGCACAGATGCCTTTGCTGTGTGTACTCTTCACAGTGAAATGCAATATATAATACTAAAGATAAAATCATTCTGTGTAAGACTGAATGTACAGCTTTCATCTTTCATTTAAACATTAGATAATTAATTCTAGTAAGTCAGGGAGGAATTTGGCCCTCAGTATATTTAATGAGAATTCATACAAATAAACCTCACATTAATTCTTAACTGTGCGTATTTAGCTATTCAACCATTTTATTTCATATACAAGCTACTCTAAAAACCTCAATGCTAATTATTTATGAACTAAAGCTCCCCTCACCCAGTGGCAATGAGCTGAGTGTACACAGATCCAGTCTGGGGTCATTTACAGGACTATTTCTCCATAAGAGTCACGTAGACTCCAGTAACTTAAAACTCTTTTATTAAGTTTTCTTGGAAGTGGTTGGACCTTAAGCCATTACACTGCAGAAAACTCATGCTTCATCAGTTTTGTGGATCAGGAATTTCATTCTGAAGCTATTAATCAGGCACTTTGCACAAAGCCGTTCAGAAAAAGTGAAGGTGAACTTGTCCTTTTCCTGTAAAAAACAGGTAAGCACAACTCCCCTCTCTCAGCCCAGCTGCTAATCAGAGGATAACGACCTACAGCTCCTACCAGCCATGGTCAGACTTTAGCCTAACCAGTGCAGGCTGCTCCTTTCACATGAAGTCCCAAATTCTGGCATCTGCACCCACACCACCGTGGTAGCTGTTCACAGAAAAACAGAGCTAACAGAACAGAACAGAACATGGAGTCTGCCTGAACACAGCTCAATACAAGGATAATTGTAAAACACTCTGGTATGACTGGGAAACAACTTGGAGAATCCCCACAGCCCAGAGTTTCTGAGCTGAACAATGTTTTCTTAGGAAACAGACCTTCACAAATGGCACTATTGCTTCTGCATGACTTACCTTGTGTGTCAGAGGGATTTGCCAGCTGAAGTAATTCAGAGACATTAAGTAGTTTATCATTGCACATTTAAACAGTTAAAGAACTGTGTATCAAGCAAGACAATATTTGGAAATCTAAAGCTACCCACAAAGCCAGTTTGCATCATTAAAATAAAGTCTATCAATTCACTACACATGAGAAACAAATTATGAAGTCCTCCCTCCACAAACAATAAGGCTTCGCAGGAGGGAAATTCCTGCTTTTCATGCTGCTCCCTCTATTCAAAGTCCAGCTATTTCTGATGGAAATTTTGTTTGCTATGGAGATTATGATTCAGCCTTTTTTTCCAGTCACCAGCGCATCACCACACTTACAGCAAGTGCACAGATTCAGAGAAGGGCGTGAAGATCTCTGTTTAGGGTTTACACTCAATTATGCACATAGTTTTGGAAGGATCCCATGAGCAAAGAGAAAGTAAAAACAACTTCTGAGCCAAGGCTCTCAAGTCTGAGCTACCAAATGACTCGATGGAGCGTCGCAGCTCTGGGGGATCGGGAGACAAGGGATGAAACTCTGCCCACCCCCCCGGTGCCCCTGGCTGTCCGGGATGGGGCCTGTGCTCCAGGTGAGCTCTGGGGACGGTGAAGGGAGCAGGCTGTTACCTGCAGGACGAGCTGCTGCCAGGCGGTGGCCAGGGGCTGCCCGTTGCCAATGTTGCAGATGCTCAGCCTGTCCGTGGGCTGGCTCTGGCTGGCGCGCTCCAGCTGCAGGGACACGTTGCGCCGCTCCTCCTCCAGCGCGCGGGTGAGCCGCTCGAAACGGGCCTCCTGCTCCTTAACTGAGGCCAGAATGCTGGCAGCTGACCTGATATCATAGTCATCCATGACTGCTGGCAAACGCTCCTGCCTGTCAACTGACCGGGGCAAGCGGGAAGGGGTTAAGGCAAAGGGTGGGGAGGGCACAGGTCAGAGGTTAAAGATAAAAATGCACATCGTTAGTCACCCCACTAAAATAGGTTCACTCTAAGAAGCAAACTGCAGTGGCCTTTGAAAAGCATCCATCTTTCCATCCACTAACTTGGCTTTAAATTAAGAATAATTAATCTAAGACTTCCCTGTTCAAAAAAGAAAAAAAAAAAAACATACGCTCACCTTGCAGAGAATTTATATTTAATTCCTTTGATCTTTTTGCTAGAATTGCTCTGACGAGGGTTTTCATCCCTCTTGCAAAGCTAATTTCACTGTGCAAATAATAATGTACTTAAATATATAAAAAAAGATAGAGCTTTGGAGGGAATGAGGAACATTCTCACTCCAGACACCTGGAATTTCTGTCTTTAACAGTATAAGTGAGAAGATTAACATTTTTAAGGACAGAAACGTCATGGTGCAATAAAACAGTTGCATTCATTTTTCCCACCCCCCGTCCAAACTTAACAGACAGTAGCTGAAAATAGTTTTCATTTTTAAATTATAGCAGCACACTGTAATATGGAAAACATTTTTAAATGCAGAGTGTGCAATTACAGTTGAAATGTGCTTGATGATTTCAGCCAATGAAACGGCCCTTCATGCAGCTGCTTGCTAATAATGCAAATGAAAAAGCCAAAATCAAACATCTTCCATGGAAAACACACAGGGCTGCTTGTCTCTCAGTGCAGAAAAAAGAACTCGGGAACCAGCTCTATGGGATGTACCTTCTGCCTTAGGTCTTCTCTAGCAGGGTTATGAAGCATCCCATTTGAAACCCTATCTCCAGCTGTATGGTGCATGAAGTAAAACCCCCCATTGATCCACAGATCTGGGACGTGAACATCATTTAAAACGTTCTCCCAAGAGTATGAAATCAGCAACACAACGTAAGCATAAATGATGGCTTCACCAGAACCTTTCACTAAAAAAGTAACCAGTTTACCACTGGGCTACTTGCAGCACCTCTGAGAGAAGCAAAGGCAGAACTGCCTCGAGCTCCTGTAATTCAAGAACTGTTCATATTCTGTGCTGAGAGTTAAGTCCTGAGAAATTGTCCCTTGATGTGCTGCCAAAGACTCTTTGTTTTCCATCTTTCAACAAGGATTTCCATGAGCACAGATAGTTCCAAACCCTGGCTTCCTGATGCTTTGCAATTCATCGTTCAGTGCCCTCAGATGATGCACACACTCCTGACTGATGCATTTTCCATGAGGGTTACATTTATCAGACCCCTCTCCCGGGCAGATTCTTTGGTAGTGAGTGATAATATGGTCATGTACTCGTGTGTTCCCAAAGCAGGAATATCAGTAGCTATTAAGCTGCATATTTTCACAGTTTACTGGAAACTCCTAAGTAGGCCTGAGGTCTCCTTTCTTTTGTCATATATGGTTGATATCATCCAACGGGCCCCAAAGATACTGGGGCAGAAGTAACAGACCCCAAGCCAACAATACACACGTTTATTTTGTGGGAAATCACCTGCCAGGAGCTCTGTGTTCACTGTTAACTCCTACAGTGCTGCTGAAGGAGTTGGGGTTACTATGAAATCACGTTGGGAACAGTGTAAGGATTACCATGTATTGATCTCATCCTGTTTACATATAACCATGACTTCAGCCTTTCACTTTTGCAGACCAGGAGGCAGAAGTGACTTTTCTCATTTGTGCACTGATTTAAGTTCTGTTTAGATTCTGAAAGAAAACCAAAAACCACCAAAGGGTTCTCCAAATGTCACAAATTAGTCAAATACTGACCAAGTTGTGAACTTCTGAGACCTTCCATTAGATTATTAAAGTCTGTAAAGCCTTCAGAGACCACACTGTTTCCTGCAAAGCAGAATCACAGCCATCTCAAAGGACAGCACGATTCCTGGGAAGCCCCAGACTCACCTGCTCCATCTCAGTGTGCTCAGCCCTGGCACAGCTGCACATGAACACAGCCAGACTTTGTGGGCCTCAGCTGGCTCATGTGCAGCCAACTTGCACGTTTCTGCTTTTCTGCTTCCCTGCCTGTGCACAGATGGAGGCAGCTCTGTCTGTCTGTCTGTCCTCCCAGGGGTGCAGACGTGCTCACTGACTCCTTGGAGTGGGAAAGCACTGCGACTAGTCAGACCCAGGCACTAATCCTATTTTGAGAAAAACATACATGGGGGGAATTTCTAACTATATATTCTTGCAAACAGCTCCTGGGCTACTAATTCCCACTGCCCTCATGCAGGAGCAGAGGAACACACTGCTACAGATCCAAGTGCACCTCAGGCAAGGGGATGCTCCAGGCCCAAGAAAAGAGTCTGGATGGGTGAGGGATGAGGACTGGAGACAGGCTCCTCAGAGATGCTGCACAGCAGGAACTCCGGTTTCCTCAGTCATGCCCTGCAGGGGCCCATCTGCCAGGGAATTCACTGTCTGCAGCTAAAACTGCTTTTTCTCACATGCAACCATGTGAGAAACAACACAGAAGTCACCTTCTGTGGGTCCCAGAGGCTGGATATTTCTATGGACTGATTTCAAAAAGTGAATCCAGTGGGGATGACAGGATGCAACCTACAGCAGCTAAATTTAAAACAAGCAGGTTCCCTTTAGAATATGTAATGCAAGTATCTGTTCTAAGGAAAAGCATTACCAGGAGTGCATGAAAAATCTAGAAGCCCCTCTTCTGAAACAGTTACAGCTTTAATAATAAAAATCACAGGTGATGACTGACCTGATACATCAACTTTCAAGTCACATTCTGAGAATGTGACAAAGATTCCATTCAGAAAATCCCTAATGAGATATAAGACCTTGATGTCACACAAGAGAACGTAGAAAATTTGGGTTCTATAAATGGTACAAATCTCTAGAGAGACCTCCATGCAGAAAATATAATGTTAACCTCCTTACAACCATAAATATTGTGCTTCTCTTCTCTGTGCGAAGACAGACACAGGCAGAAAATAAACTGTATAAATTTTCAGATGTACAATTAGTGACCATAAAAATCCTAATTGCTATGCAGAAACAGCAGCAGGACCAATAACTGCCTTTTAAGAACTGTTGGACAAAGAAAGACTTTTGCATTTCAAATGTTTTATTAGCAGATAAATACCTGCTTGCTGTTGATTGCACTCCTAATTATTTACCCAGGGTTTCAACAATTTACATTATCAGCAGTCTAGACCAGAGGAGAAAAATAAAAGTACTGACTCATGAGCCAGTTACTGGGGCTGCCACTTGCAATTTGCTACCACTTGTAAATAAATTAAAGTGCATTGAAAAGGGTATCAGTAAAAGAAAATATTACACCTACAGCAGCCAGGTAAAAATTATTCCTTAGGCTGCATTTCTAAACACAGCAAAGAGCTGCCTTCAGAGTGTCAAAGGCTACGCTGACAGCAGCAAATCTCCTCTCCTGCCTACGTGACTCCAAATACATTGGGGTGTTGCACTGGAGTTGGAGCTGCTTTTCTGCCCCTTCCTGTGACGAAGTGATGGACTGAAAGGCCCCTCCTAAGCCAGGACAGCTCAAGTGCTCAGTGAGGATGGAAATCCCCCCACTGCAAAGGGCCCAAACGGGAGCCCCCCAGTTCACACCCAAGGCTGGGGCTCTGCCATGCCTGTGGTCACTTGGTACTCCCCCAAAATGTGAGTCAGCTCTGCATGCTGGTTTTGCTAATATAGTCAAGAGCTCGTCAAGAGCCCTTCAGATGAAGAGGGGTCAAGTTCTGTGAGACCTGAGTACCTAAATCCTAACAGCCCTGGAGAACCTCAACCCCCCTGCACTTTTCAAAGTACTCTGCCTTCCTAAAGCACTCAGGCACTTGAGTGAGCTGAGTCTGGAGAGAGCAGCGTCCAAGGCAGCTCCAGAACACCACAGAGGCTTCTCCCAGCAGGAGGGGAGGTGGATCTCAGGGCACACAGGAGATTTTTTGGGTCCAACAGTGTGAGTGCTGAGCAGGGCTGTCCCACTGCTGCTCCAGCCCAAGGCTCCCTGCCCTGCTGGCAGCTGGGGCACTACAGGGAGCAACAAGAAGCTGGTACAGCTCATGCAGCTGCAGGAGCAGGAAGGGCTGTGAGTGTGCACGGAAACAGCAGCTCTGTGCTTCCACAGGGAAGGAAACCAGCAGAGTAAAAGCACAGATGGGGCTTGAGAGGATGTGTGGAACTGAAGTGTAACACATGCCACGACATTCCCAGCCTCGAGTGCCACAGGAGATGAGCAGCATGACGTGACTGTTGCCCCCCATGCACCACCAGAAGGCATGCAGAGAAAACTGAGCCATACACACCTAGAGAGGTACCAGGGCCTGAGGGTTAGAGCTGCTGGGACATCCCCCACTAAGCCTAGAACAGGACAGAGAAAGCAGGAGAGCAGCCTGAAGCAGAACCAGCTACAAGAGAGAGGAAAGAGAAGACAGAGTTAGTTAATAAGGTATTATATTACAGCCTCTTCCGTACAGTCATCTCCCAAGTTCTTCTCACTATGTTACAGAAATTATTTATTACACTGTTTTCCTCCTAACTTGGAGGAAAAGGAAACAATATTCAGAGAAGCCAATCCTGAGACTCCTAAGGAAAAAAAACCCCACTCTAGTTAATGTCATTTGTGATCAATATCTGTGTGTTTCTGTGAGATTTACTGTTGATGTCCTAAATCAGGAAAAGCTCTAGACTGGAATGAGGATGAGTGAATGCTGCAAACTGGATATTGTGGCCAGACAACTTAAACCACAGAAACCTAACATGATGCTTCAGAAATGATAACTGTTATTTAGGCATGCAACTTCAGGCCCTGTGTCAGATGTGCAAGCTCCAATGGCTCAAGATCATTTTTAGAAAGGAGACATTAATTTCTCAAATATGCCCACTGCACAACAGCTTACAGGCACTTTCTTTGTTCTACCTGCCTGTAAATCTGATCCTACACAAAACCAGAGGGAAAGAAGCCTTTGGGATATCAGGTCATCTGTGTAGCTCTGTAGATCTCTGATCTCTTTTGTCTTAAAACATTTAGCACCAAAACTTCTCTGGGCCAGTGACTGCCAATTCAGTCCCTGTTTTTCTGGAGAATGTACAGAACAGGATCCCTTGGCACAGACATGGTTCTGTGAGGCAGCACAACCAGCCTTCAGCCACTGCCACATCAGAAATGCTGCAGCCACACGGCAGGGAATGCAGAGCCAGGACAAACTCAAGCTGCTGGTTCAGATGGTTTAGAACATTTTCAGAGAGAAATGTTGGCCCAGCAGATTTCATGCTTGACCAGGTACTGTCTGCCTTCCTGAAGCCAGCACAAACACAGTTTCTTGTGTTTCAGCCAAATTACCAGAAATATGATCCTTTCTTTGCATGGATCCAGCCTCAAAGGGCATGGAACCATCATGCCAGAAAACTCATTTTTTCTTAAACTAAACAGAAGTAAATTCTATGCTCAAAATTTACTAGATATAAAAAAAACTGTGCAAAGATATGCCCACAGATGAAAGTGGGAAGGCAGAGTGAGAAAAAGACTAATTCTCAAGCAAATGACCAGAGAGAATAAATTAACCATAATTCAGCTTCTGCAGACAAAAGAGTAACACCTTTGGAAAAAAGAATTTATATATACAGAAAAAACACATTCCAGATAAACTGCTTCTCAGACCTTATGCTGAAATCTGTCTTGAGCCTGGGTCCTCCTGCTGCTCTGGTTGACTGAGCTCTAATTTGACCCTTAGGTGACAACCTCCACCAATGAATAGCAATGAGGAGGTCACAAAGAAACCTGTTTGAGTGGAGGTCTCTCCTAGGCACAGACAGACTCACTGTGCTGGTGTCAAAAGGAACAACAGAAAAGCTGCTCGGGGTGGTTCTGTTCCTTGGGACAGAGGCACTCTGTGAAACAAGGTATAAACTGGGGAATGAACAAGAGCAGAGGAAATGGTGACGGGAGAAATGGGAAGAGGAAAAAGCCCCTGAGAAGGAACTTTGGATCTTGGGGACACAGCACTGAACACTGCAGCTCACCAGCTCTGCTGCTGCAGAAAAAGAAGGGCAAGTGCAATATTTGGGGTTTTACATTGGTCAGGAACTTCATCTGATCGTCCAGCAGGAATAATTTTGTAGAAATAAATAAATTCTGCAAATAAATTTGCAGAATATCATATTATGATCTGGGTTTGGCAACATCAACAAAAGAATCCAGACACACCTTTGTACACACAGCACAGTTCCAACACTTCTTCACTCACTGCAGAACTGGCTCTGCTCAGCAGCACCACAGCATCTCTAATCTTATCGTAATGGTTCCCAGTCAATTTAAACATTAATACTTTAATTAACCTCTTGGTTAAAAGCACTGAAATCATATCATAGCACCTTAGAAAAGACACAGTTCTCAGGAAAAAAGGATGCAGAATTTTCTTGTATGTAATACAATCTCTCTATTAATGAGGGCACATTTAAATGACACCAGTTATCTTTCTACAGCTTCCCTTCAGCAGAGATTCCTCACTTCTGCAGTTTGATACCAGGAATTTTTCAGGTTTTCCTCCCAAGGTTTCATGCACTGTTTTCAGGCTTGGTGTGTGCCTGCACAGCTTTAATGATACTGTAGCTCTGTTCCCCTAATAAGGTACATTTCAATTTCTATACTGTATTCCCAAATGGAAAGGAAAATAAATTAGAGCAATATAGAACACCTTTCTCACAACTGCATACATATAATAGCATAAATAATTCAGTTTAATACTCTAAAGTTCCAATGGAAATATTTTTACAAGGGCAGTTTTTAAAGTAAATGTTTTAGCCTATGATTACCTTTGCCCAACAGAAAAGAAAAATCCATTTCTTCTTGAAATGTGTCATTTATAGACCAGAACAGTGTAGCAGCACCTCTCTTGGACTGTGGCTCCAAAGGACTTGTCTATACAGAGGAAGCTGAACTTCTCCATCCCAGAGAGCTCATTACACCACAGTTCCTTCAGAGATGGCTGTTCGTGTTAATTAAGCATAAAACAGCAGAGCAAAATGTATCACGTTACTTCACACCTCCTGAGTGTCCACACTAAGGTTTAATGGGTGTGGGATGGTCTGGAAATCCACACTGTGCACTGTAAATTCTCGGTGTAAACAAACAATCCTCACCAAGGGGTGTCCAGGTGGAACAGTTTTTGTAGAAGCCTCGTAAATCCCAGAGCAGGGAACAGGGCAGAGCTGGGCCCAGTTCTGCCTTCAGGGTGTTGGGTTGGAATGTGCCCACTACAACCCCTGCTACTGTTCTACCTCACAGGGGTTAATGCTGCCACCTGAGCCACGGCCAGGAAAATACCAGCAGCATTAATACTTCATTCTCTGCATACAGAGAATCAGCTCTGCATGATTTCTACTCATGTCCTGTAGCTGGGTAGCATTTGGAAGACAGCACTTTCACCCCCACACCAAGAAGCCAAGTCTGAAATAACCAGCTGAGCTGAATGCTGTGCACCAACCTCGTGGAAACAGTTCTGAATATTTTGATGATTTCAGTAATTCCATTTGCTTAATACTGTGCACCATAATGATCAGCCTGTGTTTTTACCTATCCTCAGAAAATTTTGTATTTTTCTTTATATTTTCTTGTTTTCTATAGAAACAAAATGCAACTTGAAAATTAAAGGGAGAATGAACAAGATCATACTTTGCGATCTCTCTTGGAATGGAAACTGTAAACTTGCTCCTTCCCAAACCTCTGACACCTTTTCCTCTGCGTTGGAACTTGCCAAACATGATTGCTACCAGCGTGATTAGTTCATAGCTGATCACTTTAACACCCCACAACACGTGTCCTTGCATACTAAAGCTGCTGCATGCCATTGATTTCTCAAAGGTCTCCCCCACCGAAATCAATAAGGAGTTCTGCCTGAAAATGGATTGCACTTTGTGTTCCCTTTCTGATTCATGGATATTCAGCTTTCCAAGTATTCTCAGAGCTGCTTTCAGCAGGAGCTCTGTCTATGGAGCTTCACCCTCATCAGCAGACACTTCACCCACTTCACCCCTGTCCCTTTGCTGAGAGCAGCCATGGCCACAGAATTCCACTGGAACCTGCACATCTGTCTGGGCACAGAATTCCACTGGAACCACCTTCCTGCAGGAATGGCTTCCCAGCAGCACGGGAACCACCTCTGCCTGTGCCTGCTGGATAACAGCAGCCCTTCAATGAAGCACCCAGGTGCTGCTGCCTGGGCAGGGCTGGGGGCATGGACTGGGACTGAGCTCATCTTCAGCACAAATGCTTCCTTCTGCAGAGCCTGCCTTGCAAGCAGAGCCACCCAAAATCAATACATCTGCCCTTAGAACAAGGCTATTTCAGCGAGGAAGCAAAAAAAGATAAAGATCAAAAGCAGCACACTTCAGAACTCCACTCCCTCAGTCTTTCCCCTGTATTTTAAAGCTTGGCCTCATAAATACACAATCCAATCTGGCCCCAAACAAGCCAAACACGAACTGTTATAACCTCATGCAATTACTTCCACAGACTACTTAAAAGATTTCATTAAACAATATACCAGATTCCTCATTTTTCTGGGTTTCTGGATATTTTGAGTTTTGGTAAAAGGGCTTCCATTTTCAGAGAAAGGCTCCTGACAGGAGTGTGTCTGGAAGTGGCTGTATGGGGGGAACTACAGCTGAGAGCAGCCTTGTATTCATGAGCACTGAATTCCCAGCTCACAAAACACAGGAACAAGAGTCAGTGGGCAACTTCCAGAGCCAGGCAGCTTCTCATGGGCAAACCAGAGCAACTGAAATATCACAGAAAGGCTGGAAAATGCTGCAGATGCTCATAATTCTTTCATAAAAGATACTGTTGTGCTGCCACGAACAGATAAATAAAATGGCAAGTGCCAAAGCTGAGGCCAGCCCTGCACCCAGGCAGCCTGATGCCCACTCCAAATGCCCTTGTTAGGCTCAGCACACCACTTATTTAGGCACCACACTCAGGCAGCTTATTTAAACTAAGAGCCATTAGGCAGAAAATTGTCCTTTCACTACACATTTTGAGAGGAGAGGAAAAAAAAAATCCAAGTGCGACCCCACAGAACAGTGAGTGTCTCAGCTCAGCAACAGATGTGTCAAATGACTTACCCCGACCACGAGGAGTTAATTGGTGCTATAAATAGCACTCTGCACACACACACAAAAATCCACTTAATTCTAGTATCCAAAGCACACAGGCTGGCTTTGCTTATCAGTAAAACTATTTTCCTTTAAAGAAGTGGGCTTGGGTGTTCTACATGTAGATTAACACAGAGAGAATAATTTGATTTCAGGCTATTGAGAGATTTCCTTCCTTTTATGTTTCAGAAGAACAGGGCTGCATGCAGCTAAATGAGATCCATAGATTACAGTAGAAAGGCTAATAAAACTGCACAGCTACATTCCTGGGTAATAACAAATGCTTTTTAATTCTAGGGCTCCAATCTCGGGGTTTATGGGGGCATTTCCAATTACTACCTTTAAGATGAACGCAAATAAATGCATCAAGAGAAAACAGATCCTTTAACCCATCTGAATCAAATACTTACTATCTCCCACAGCATTTAAAAAAAAGTAAACTGGCACTGCTAGGAAAAAAATTTCATAGTTCTTAAGTGTTCAGAGCAAGCATCTTCCCTGTGGTTTCTGACCTGCTTTCAGGAGAAAAAAAAAACAAAACCAAAACCCCTCAGCTGTTTTCCAGACCATGTGTCTTGTTTACCTCTCACAGCCACATCCAGTGGGTTGTGTGGCTGCTCCACCAGGGAGCTGAAAACATCAGTATAAACAGGAAAGAACATAATGCCAATATTCATGTCTCATTCTTGAAGCTACTAAATCAAATTAATCTTATTAGCTGCTTACCAACCTATCCTGCTGCATTACTCTCCTGCATTTCCACCTCTCCCATTAAAAACAACCCCGTTTCCACCTTACATTGCTTTAAACCAGGAACAGTATCAATGAGGAGGAGATTAAAGCAATACAAAGAGAGGGAAGGAACAGAATGAGGCCCACCACCTCTAATTCTCCTCAGGAACATCTGTCTCATCCTAAATCCAGTGGTTTTTTTCCCCAAGCTGTGTTTGGAAGCCCGAGGCACTGAGTAAATGTACTGTGTGAGACCGAAACTATCGATCTGCTTTCTGCAGTGGCATGTGCAGAGCACACCCTTCACTGTCCCAGCATCTGCAAGTTTAAAATGCAGTCCAAGTTCACCTTACCCTTGTAAGTTTAGGATGCAATCCAAGTTCGTGCTGATTAACACTACAGCTTTTTAGTATTACAAGGCAAACATGCATTTGAGAACTAATAAATAATTTCTGAGCAAAACAGAAGTATTTAGCTCATGTGATGCCTTGAACACTCATTCTGTTCATGCATAAACATCTAAAGGCAGAAAAAAAACAGAGACATTTTAATGACAGCCTTGGACAAAGTCCTCATTCCATAGGATGCATTTTGGCCCCCCACATCTCAGCAGCAGTCCCTGTTCCACACTGCAGAACCATCCTGCTCCAGGGAGGGGCTGCCTGGCTGAGGGGCAGAACATCAATGTCACGAGAACTGCACTTCACCTCCCCTGTCTCCAGGTGCAAGACCCTGCTGAACCTTCAAGGCAGGAATCCTCATCCCTGGGAAGCATTTTCTACCCCATTAGCCAAGAATCTTGGCTTCTGTGGGGTTAAACTGACAGTCTAAGTGGCCCTCAGAGAATAACCCTCAGGACATGACTGGTTCATATCCCTGGGTAAATCCAGATGCCACAGTAACCCCATTGATTAGTCCAGACTCACTCATTTAGATCTCCCTTGCATGGACCAGCAGGGCTGTGCTTACACTGCCAAGGGTTACATCACACAGCCACCAAAACTTATTTTTATTACATCACTGAGAGTGGCAATTTTCACAACTGAGATTCATGTCTTCATTATAAGAGCATTTTATTCATTGGTTTGTAGCTCTATCCAAATTTAAACCTTTGGGCTGAAGTCTTCCCTGGTAGGTCTTTCCTTCAAGGCTGAATTTCTCTTTTAGGAGAACTATAGTGAGAATAATTGGGCTGGTTTTTGTATCAGCTGGGGAAATTTCTGTGCAAGTTTCTCCCGTCAGAGGCTCTGCAGACACAGCCACAGCCCTGCTCTCACCCAGCAGCCCCAGGGTGCCAGCTCAGCACAGGGACAGGGGCCTGCCTCCAGCTCAGAGTCTGGCAGGGGTCACCCCCACCCTGAACAGGCAGCACAACACCCACAGCAAACCACAAGGGATTCCCCTGCCCCTTGGCCCTCTTTTCTCTCATGGAAAACCTGTTCTGAACCTGACCTTGTCACGAGCCTCCATCCTGACCAGACACAGCATTTAAACACCTTCTGTGCTGAGCTCAACCCTGACCTGGAAACCAGCAGGAACTGGGCAAGTCCTGATTTAGGGGGTCAGCACCAATCGTGTTTTGGACAGACCATTTTCTTCCAGACAGCTACAGTTAGACTCTGACCTCCCCCCTTCCAAGCCTGTCCTGCATTTGTATCTTTAACTAAATCCTAATGCTTTTTGTAGCTTATATTGCCCATCAAGAATATTTCTTATTTCCAGGAACACACATCACTAATGTCTAATATTACAGTTATTGGGAAGCACAAATATTTCTTCCAGATCAGGGATGATCCGCTCCAAGAACCAACTTTCTATTCAAACATTCCTTTTTAATAATTGTTCTACTAATAATTGTGCTGAGTTGGAAAAATAATAATTTTGCCTTAACTGTCTAACCACTTCAAACGTTTAAAGCAAATTCCCTCTATTATATCAAAATTAAAATCTTGCACTGTATAAACAGGAATGTATTCCAGCTATAATAAACACTTTTAACTCATTTCATTACAACTAGTAACAGAGCTAAGTACCAAACAACTCAGACAGTAAATACAATGTAAACTTTACTGAGAACCTTTCCTACAAACAGCTTTGGAAGCTGAAATGGCCTATTTACTTTCCATAAAACTTTTTGATTTGACATATATAAAAGAAACAATGTTTAATCTAAAAACAATCAAATGAAAATGGAAAGAGCTTTATAAAAATCAGTAACATGATACTTGCTTTTCAGAGGATTATTTTCAAGGAATGCTTGGCTCAAACTATAATCCACCTACACTGAGAAAAATAAAGCAGTACACAAAAGGGAGCAATATTTCAGGAAAATAAACAACAGAGTGCTTTTATATTTAAACCCATTATTCCCTATCAAGTCCCCAGATTTAAAACAGACACACCAAAGCACTGAGGTGAATTTGAAGCAGCAGAAAATGTTTATGGTCATTCTCTAAGCAACCAGAGGACTGGCCTTTTGATCCAGAAAGGCTGAGGCATAAGTTGGCAGGGAGGGAATGGAGGGAGGAAGACACATCTTAGGATTTTTGGAAAACACAAGCCTGAGTGGAGAATGGGACAAGAGGGGAATGCTGAGAGTCCACCTGCTGAAAATGGGGCCGTGGGAAGAAGTCACACAGACAGAGACAGCCCTGCTCTGCCAGGGGTAGAATGAAGCCAAATGAGGACTCCCATGGCAAGAGAAGGGAGACATGGACCAGAGATGGCACCAAGTCACAAAAGACAACTGTCACCCCTGTGTCCCTCAGCTCTCACTCACATTCTGCCTCTGGCAGTGCCTCATCTCAACACAACCAACCATCCCAGGGGCTCCTGTCCCAGGGCCAGGTTTCTGATCTATCACAGGTATTTCCCTCCTTTCTGCTCCTCAACCACTCTACCACTATTTAAAAAAAATTTCAGTAGGCCTTCAACAGCATGCAAACTAAGGAATTTCTGAGAAGTGTAAAGACAATTTAATAAAAGGATCGTGACTTAAGAACACACAATGACAAAGCAGCAAGATACTCAAGAGACTTGAACTCAACTGCAGAAACACAGTACCTTTTATAGTGTTCCTTTCTTGCAGTGGCTTTAAGATGGAAATTCTCCCCTGGTTTGATGATAACTCTGTCAGAGAAAGAAAAAACATAACAAAGACATTTTTATTCCATCTAGGGGAAGTAGGAAGAGCAGATATTACCTCTCCTTCGGTTCTCCTTCCCTTCCTGAGTCATGCTGGCTTACCAAAAAGCATTACCTCTGTCATCTATTCCACCATTACCTGAAATCCCAGGAAAATCCCACAGAACTGGAATATGGAAAGTAAACTTTGTAGAAGGAGCCTGGTTGACTAACTGGCTATTCCAATCCTCTTGATTTCTGTCCCAGTGCCATATGTCCCATATGTGCATATATCACACATTCCTAAACTTAGAATTCAATCCAATACATATTTAATTCCTGATTAACTCATAGATTTAAAATCCAAAGCTGTTTCCCTCGTCAGCACACACCACAGCATTCTCAGTCAGCCAGGTCTAAATGCCATCTAGTGGCTCTAAAAATGTCAACTGTGGCTCCACAAATACACCTCATCCCATTTGACATTTTTCCTTCTAGCAGCAGGAAATAAGAGAAATTAGGGCAGGAAGACATTCACCCTTGAATCACCAGAAGGAACTCATCACTTTTCAACATCTCACTTTTTGTCTGAGCTCCAGGCAGCATTCCCACTCCATGCAGCATTCCCACTGCAGCAGTTCTTCTCTCAGCAATCTCCCCTACAAGCAGGATCCTTTGTCTTGGATTTCCAGCCTCCTGCTCTCTTTCCCAGACCAAGAACATTCAAGCAGCTGATTCCTGCAGATCCTCCTGGTTCCACTCAGGGTAGAGTTTCCCCATAAAGCAGACACTGCCCTTGCACTGCCAGGGCTCCATCATTAGAGCCTCCTCCCTGCTCCTCCTCTGCCTGCAAAGTGCACTAAGGCCAAATAAACAGGAGTGGCAAGCAAGGAAAAACACTTTAACCCTGCAGACTCACTGTAACCAAACAGGTGCTAAAACAAAACCGTACATCTCTGAGGGAAGATGAGCATTTCTCTGAAGCCTAATTTCTTTGAGCTTTTGTCTCATAACAAGAATGTGGCTATCTCCTCTCTATGTAAGCTAATTTTATGCATTTTATTAGAATATTCCCCCTTTTTAAGCCAGAAATAACGATTTACGTTCAGTGTCACTTGGAGCAGACAAAAGCTACTGGAAAGAATACTTCCCTTGATTTTTCTTTCCTCCTTTTCCACCTATATTTTTGTTGCTGTTGATTCAGAGTCAAGCAGACAAGCTGCCTAAGGCTTGGGGTAAGACCCAGTCCCACTACAGCAATTCATGTACAGCTGTGGGCTTTTGAATCTTTTTAAATCACATAATCTGGGAGAAACAGCATTCACCTCCCTGACAAGATCTTGAGAATATATATCTAAAATACCAGGGGTGGTCAGATCACCCCATCAGGGGTGTTCTAGTGATAACCACACGCGTGTGGCCTGAAATTCAGGGTCAGTTATCAAGACAAAACCACCTGTCTTTTCAATACAAACCCACGTGTTTCATTCCCTTCTCTCAGCAGAGTGTTTGTGAGAACAGGGACAGTCTCAGTGCTGGGTGGGATGTGGCAAACAGCTGGACCAGCTGTGCTGTATTCCATGGGAAGAGTCCAACTGCCCTGGGACCTGAGCACTGCTCTGGATCAGCTGATCCAGCTCAGACATTCAGCCCCAGATCCTGAAGCCTGGAGCTCACTGAGTGCTCCTGGCCACCTGCCAAGTCCCCTTCCCACCCCCTGGCTGCTGCCCATCTGACACCCTGTCATACACAACCCACCAGCTTGGACCCTGTTACATTTAATAAATCACCTGTGCTTCATTACAAAAATGCTGCTTCGTGCCAGTGATATACTTTTATTGCTGATTTTAATCAAGTAGCTTACAGGTCTCAGATGAGAAAGGTGGAGAAAAACCTGTAATGCCTCTTCAGATTGCTTGTTATCTCTCACTTGTAACTAATTATCCCAGTCACACTATTAAAGACTGAGCAGTTTTATGTTCACTCGCCAAGAAATGACAAAAAAAAAAGAAATTAGACAATTAGTCTTTAGCTATAATAACTAATTAAGATAAATATTTTCAGAATAAGGAACTTAACAGAACATCAAGGCACTAACACTGCAAAAATGTCTGGGAAAGTAAAGCATCTCTCAGCAAAAACATTTCTTGCCAGTCAGTGAGTTCCACAGTTGCATCCCAACCACATTTCATTCTTGTCCTACTGCAGTAAACATAATTAGTTATTAAAACTTCTTTCTAACGTGGTGAGAATGTGAGCAGCTTATTGGACTACAGGGAAGCTTAGGGACAAATGTTTGATGCTGCCCCTTGCAAGTGTGTGCTGCCCACAGATCAGTGTCTTACACCAGCCCCGTGATGGCAAGGACTGTCACAACTGGTTCTGCCATTCCTGGGTCCTCAGGTCTTAGTTTGCATCATCAGCTAAGCCTGGACTGTGCTGGTATCCAGTCCTCACACCTTCTTGGTCCCTCACTCAAAAAGCTTCTGAACTTTCCTGAAAAGGCTTTCTGGGCAGTCAGTTTGGGAGGAGCAGCCTTCAGACAGGTCCAGCACGGTGACAGCACAGCATCTGCCTGGCCCTGGCTCCCTCTGTGCCCCCTCATCCCCAGGGACAAGGAGCCAGCCTTGCACAAACAGACTGGAACACGTTCTGGGGCACAGAGCAGATCCTTCACCTCTGCACAGAAACTGGGGCAATTAACACTGCCAAGGGTGAGGCAACAGTGCAGTCCAAAATAAAGGAGACAATGAAATGGTGTGGATAGACAAGCAGACTGCTTTTAATTCAGCTGCAATACCACTATAAGCACACACTGCAAAATCCTGCCAAGGGCATGAATGGAAAGCCTTTCTCTTGGCTCTTTCTGTCACTACAATGACCTCCTGTCTGGCATTTCTGGCATTAAAATAACTAATCAAGAGCTTGGATGACGTAACTTATTTGGTGACAGAAAGATTACCTGCACATTCATGGCTACAGCCCTCACTGCACACTTACAACCCAAAACCAGCCCCAAGGAGCTCATGTTTCTCTCAATTCCAGCAGCACATCAGAACACAGCTCCACGTACCAACAGCTACACCCATGGAAAAGAGTCCAGTGGAGAAGAGCTCACTTGCTCCCAAATGAATTTGTCTGCCCATGTTCTGTTGTTATTGATCACAAGAAGCTGACACCCTCCAACTGGATGTGTTCCTTGGCAGGAGCTTTGTCACAGATAAATCACCAGAAGTCCAGGCAGAACTGAGTAACATTCTCTGGGCTCTATTTTGCATCTGTTGTGATTTACTTTTCTTAACCAAGAGACAAGGAGGTGAGGAGAAAGAATTTTTTCCCTAAGCACCACCTTCCTTCACCTTATTTCTTCACTTGCTAAACTGCTACTTTATTTCACAGAGAAATGTAGGGTGTTCTGACTGACAACACAGGTCTGCTTTTATGTAAGGTATCAGATGGCAAACATGAGGTATCTACATTACACAACCCAGTGTGTGGGTATACACCCTGTCACAACTTGCATCAAAACATATGAAACAGTCATGGGAAGTGAGGTCTCTTCACTGAAAGATGTGATACAAACACAGCTACCACACAACACACTGAACAACAGCCACGCTGCACACTCATTACAAGGCTTTCCATCAAAAGAGGCGGACTGCAAGCTGTTTGATATTCTAATATTTACACTCAATTATCTCCAGAAATTTATTTAAAACAGTATTATTTCTGTGTTACTTAGGAGCTCTGAGTTCCCTTATAAACTCCTACTCGTTCTTAATTATAGTGTAAATCAGCATGTTAACACCAAGCGAGCAACCATTAACTAAAGCAGCTGATACAAATGCAGACAAAGTTCGGACAGAAGGAGTGGCAAAATGCCCAGAAAGTTCCAAACCCCCTCTGAACAGCTCAGTCATCGTGCAGAGATACACAGACCTTTCAAAACAGATGTGCTGGGTAATAGCAGGTACTGCCAATAAATTTTATATAAATATTACAAAAGCAGTAAAGGGCCCATGCATCAGTACACAGACATGTCACAGATAAGAACTGCAGCTTTTTAAAATGTCAGGGCTGAAAATGTACAACAGCCCATAAAATGTCTCTGCAGTCATTACTGCTAACAGTGAACTCAATCAGTCATTAAGGGAACGACGCTGAACCAACTCTGGCAAACCAGCTGCACCATTTCCTGGGCTGCCTTAGTGTGTGCACAGACATGGCACAGCAAAAGGACATTTATGACACGTACACCTACAGGAGCCAATGTATAGTGATTCACTTCATTGTGCAAAATTAAAGCTAATCCCTTCTTCTGAAGGAAACGTCACAGGCTTCTGTGTGTTCGGTGAATTAATATTTATAAGGAGCCCAGACAGTTTAATGTTTTTAATACAGGACTGAGATTTTCTCCTACACATCAAACAGAGAAGCTGCATTAAAACAGCAGTTTCTTGATTGCCACAGACCTAAGTGACAGTATTTCCAAGCTTTGTTTTCCATCCTGTCACACCGATTAGCAACTGTACACAACTGGGACATCTGCAAAATCCACCAAGTAGCCATGAATTATACATTCCTGACTCTTTAAAGTGTGAATTATACATTCCTGACTCTTTAAAGTTAACGTGTGATAATCTCCTTATCAAGAGCCTGCCGACAGCTGCTAGTACTATTCTCCTAATACTTCTCATTATAAACAGACATCTAGGAATGGAAAAACAAGGTATACAGTCTAGTATCACACAGGTGATACTACACATGTAATATGTAATCCACACACATCCACATGTAATAAGGGAGACTTTACCAACAACATTGTTTTAAGAATTTACGTAGCAATAAAGCTGCAGCTGAACACCTTTTATAAAAAAATGCAATTTAACATTTTACAGCCTAATATGTGTAAGAATTCATCACACCCAATTAAATACAAACACTTGGTCGCCTTTCATGAAAGTTTTGAATGGAATTTTGTTATATTTCATATTAATATGGAGTTT